TGGAATAATAGCTCATGTCTTTCATCTCTCATTGACTTCCATTCCCTGAGTTGGTGCTTGTGGAAAATTGACTTAAATCAGATCTAACATATAGCCAGCCAACACTGACTAATGTAGTGCATTGTACAGGATATTGCAATGGGAAATGGAAGAAATTGATTTGACTCATGGAACTGCCAGAGCTCAACTCTCTCCTACTCCCTTTCTGCTGTCCACAAGTGTTTCCCTTGTTTAAAGTAAACCAGAAAAGCTATTAAATTGTCATTCCAAACAGGCCACACCCTTCCCTCCTCTATTTTTCGTGCCAGAGACTCTTCCATGTAGAAGTAGGAAATGCTGTACCAGACCAAGTGATCTTTAAAAGGCCCTCACCTCAGCCGGTGGGAAAGAGTCTGGTTTTGGCAGGTGATCAGTTCCAGAGGAGCAGTAGGGGAGGCAGCCTCCCCAACAGGAAACCAGCCCTAATTATGGGTCTTTAGAGCCACAGAAATGCAATCATCTCTGTGGAACATGGAATCAGCATGCAGCAGGTCCAGCTCCTCAGAAGGGACTTGAGACTAGGTAAATAGCTAGATTGTGATCAGCACTAATGAGACCCTGTGTAATTCACGTTTATTATTTTATGAATGGAAAATAGGACTATACTGGAAGGCATAGTTTGTAGTTTCGGTGTATGTCACTGGTGCTCTGTGAAAGGTAATATGCAGCATTTGTTGCGCTCTGTGTATTCTCACTGCTCTGAATGCCGAAAAGATATTTTAACTAACTCTCTTTATTGTTGTACAGCAAATATCTAAAATACACCTGCGTAGCAAGTTTACCATTGACTTGAATGGGCTTTAGATGAGGCCCTTCTTAAGAAGTGGTAGATTATTGGGTTGGAAAGAATACATGTCATATACATTTATTATATAGCACAGTGCCTCTCCTGGCTTTTCTTTATTGTCATTCATTTTTTTTCTCCTCATTGACGTGAACATACCCCATAGCGAGAGCAAGCCGACACAATGATGGCAAACTTAGTTCATGATAATAGAGCGTCAAACTCCGCCTTAGCAGCTCCAGTCATTTCTAATGACTGCTTTGAGAATGCTCCAGCTTAATCTAACAATTCATACACTTCAGTGATTGACAGCAGAGCAAGGAGAAAAATTCCAGCTACACAGAAACTTAGGCAGCCTGACCTAGATTTTAGCCTCTCTGGCTACATAAGAGGAAGCATTCTTGATTATGCTTTTTAACAAGAGGAAAAATAGTTAGGGGGGGAAAAAGTCATCTTCTGTTTGATTAGTCTTTCTTCGATAATTAAGATTTAGTCCATGCTCACTGCAAGATTTTTTTTCTAAATGTCATCAAATGTTAGAAGCCCTATTATAAATCATTACCTCATTTTCACTCAGTTCTTGACATCTCTCTGCTCTCCGTAATTAGCATCTCTTGGAATGCTCCTTTAAGCTAGTTGGCTATCTAGCTGAGGAAATGAACCGAAGAACCCCCACGTGGGCAGAAACAATGGCGTGATGTGTCACATGCACAAACATCCCCCCTTCCACTGCTGCATCTGGTGTCCGACTAGTCTGATCACTGCTGCTTCTGGTGTCCGACTAGTCTGAGCCCAGCTGCAGGTTTGTTCTTTGTTGTATTTGGATACAATCGGAGAAAAAAAATGAGTCTAGTGTAAAGTGTGTGTTGCTTTCCTTTTCCTTTTGATACACAGATCCATTGGCTTCACAGGAGCTATAATAAAATTGACAAATAGTGAGACAATATTGTTTTAATAATAATAGCTCTTCTATAGCATTTTCACCCATAGATCTCAAGGTGTTTTACAAAAGAGGTCAGTATCATTATTCCCATAATGGAACATAACCCAGGTCTCCCAAATCCCACTCTACAGGTCTATCCACTAGGCCATAATGCCTCTCATTAGCTTTGTACTTGTCTGACTACATCCATCTGTTGTCCATCATACTTAAATTGTAAGCTCTTTGGAGCAGGGATTGTCTTTTTGTTCTCTGTATGGACAGCACCTAGCACAATGGGGTCTTGGTATATGATTGGGGCTCCTAGGTGCTTCAGTAATACAAATAATAAATAATACTGACACCAGCTGAGGATCTGTCCCGTAGTGTCTCCAGATTATTATGCTAGTAGCTGCTGTAGGTAAGTCTCAGCCAGTCGTCTTCTTTTGTAATTTGGCTATGAACTACCACTTGACTTTATAGTGTCTTTCATGCACACTGCATTATTCTAATGTGCTTTGCAGAGTCAAAGGGCTGGTCTACACTGGGACGGGGGGGGGATCGATCCAAGATACGCAGCTTCAGCTACGCGAATAGCGTAGTTGAAGTCGAAGTATCTTGGATCGAATTACCTGGGGTCCAGACGGCGCGGGATCGATGGTCGCGGCTCCCCCATCGACTGCGCTACCGCCGCTCGCTCTGGTGGAGTTCCGGAGTCGACAGTGAGCGCTTTTCGGGGATCGATATATCGCGTCTTAACGAGACGCGATATATCGATCCCGGATAAATCGATTGCTACCCGCCAATATGGCGGGTAGTGAAGACGTACCCAAACTAACCTCAACTTTCAATTTAGAATAAGAGAGGAAGGGAGAAATAACCAGAAAAGGAAAATATGCCTCCAAGTGAAAATGGAAAATAGATGAATTGATAAGGTGGAGTTAAAGGATGCTTAATGTTTGTTTCAGTTGTTCAGTGAGGAGCTAGTGGACATGGAAGTGCTAAGAGACAGGATAAAAATAATTGAAAATGTCTTGACAGAAATAGCAAAAAAAAAAAAAAAAAATACTTCAAAATTCAGTTTCAGAAGCTGCATTTTCAGATTTGGACTAAGTTCTAAGTGCAAACCTTTTCCTAATACCTTTAAATTGTGACTCTCCTCTGAAAAATGAGACTGTAAGAATGGGATCTTCTTACTCACCTGATATGCTTTGTGTGTATTCAGAGTTATAAGAGTCTATTCATTTTTACTGTGGTCAGCTTTGCTGCACCAACATACTAGAATATTTTCTGGCTCATGCATCAATGATAGAATTATTAACTGATCCAAAGCTCACGGACTCGGTTTGAGATCCCACAAATAAACAATTTAAGAAATGGCTTTGTACATTCCTTTAGGAAGGTAATGAAAAAATAATAGTTCATGTGTCAGAGCAATTAGAGGTATGCATGAAATAAAGAATAGCTGGCAGAGGAAATGAAAGAAATTAACATTTACTGTATAGCGATGGGTATTGGATACACACAGAAAGAGGCCACATGGTTATAAAACATAGCTAGGCCTTTGGTTGATGAAAATCAGTATGGCTACATCGAAGTCAATGGATCTACCCTGAAATATGTCAGCTGAGGATATATACCAGCTGGCCTGGGGATGATATCCATCCTGATGTAATCCCACTGAAGTCAATGGAATTACATAAAGGATACATTTTTGATCCAATGTACCTATGTTAGGCATCAAGCAGCAAATTGTGGACTGCTGTGCCTTGCAAAGCCCTGTTGATTGCAGTCAGCCTCTATGCAACCAATTGCTGGATTTGGACCTTAATGTTTCCCATTAGTAAAGAAGATTGTAGTGAAAGAGATTGAGAAGTGGTAGTAAATTGCATTTTTTAAGGTGAATTATCAAAGCTACAGAGCCTGGAAATCCAATTAAAAGAAATTTTAACCAAAGAACATGATCTGACATCAAAAGGACCCTGGCCACGTCTTCCCCGTTGCTCCATTAAGCATGATTGCATTGCACAGCATACAGTAAATGTATCCTACTGCATAAGACACATACCTGCAACTTAATTAGTGCTTAGAAACAGCCTTGTGTAATGTACTTCAAAATAAAATTATAAAGATGTGGATTGTGTCACATCTAACTATTTTATATGCAACTGTGTTGTGCTCCCTGAACCAGCCCTGATAGGGTTAACAAGAGCCTGAGAGGCCAGGGCATCCCCTGAGACAAGAAGGGCCAGGGTTAATTGGGAGTGAAGCCTACCTGGGGAAGGGCTGCACAAGCACTATACAGCCAGGAGGGTGAAAACAGAAGGGGGCTGTAAGGCAAGGAGGCTGCAGTCACTCTGGGTTGAGGGAGGTTGTCAGGGAAAAGGAGGAAGTCCAGGGGGAAAGTAAGCCCTCGATCCTGCCCTGGAGTAAGAGACTAGGAGGGGGGTGAAGTAGCTACAGGGCGTAGAATAAGTTCCATTGGTAAATCTAAGAAGATAGAGAGGCTGGATAAGATGGAACCCAGTGAAACAGCAGCAGGGATGGGGACTGAGAAGACCTGGGTTGCTGGTTATAGGGTCACTGGGATGGAATCCAGTGTGGTGGGTTCCCATCCCAGCCACCGGTATAGTGGCACAGACACCAGAGCCGGAGCTGAATACAGCCTGGAGACAGCATTTGGACAGTGGTCCAGTTGGACTTCGTAACCCCAGAAGGGGTGGACTGAATGGTGACCTGGCATCGGGGACAAGTTCCCAGAAGAAAGACTGTGTGTTTGTGACTTGGAGACTATAAAAATAGGCTAGACAGCACAGCTCACAGGGTAGCTGAAGAAGCACCTTGTGACAGTGACAAAGATAATTAGAAGAGGTGAGTAGAGGAGGTTTAGGGGGTGGATTGAGATCAGATGCCAACATGCATTTTCATTAATTACAGAACTCTAAGCTGGTTTTTCAGTTCAAGTAGCTAAGGTAAAAACACTCGTTATTTATTAAAGAGTTAGTGGAAGTAATGAAATTCTAAAGAGGAAATAGAACTGAATGGAGCTAAAAATGCACTCTACAAATCACTTTTTTTTTCATGTCAAACTAAAATCTATTGAAAACCTTCAATTGTGGTTAATTGTGACAGATGATTCACAATGGCTTAAAAATAAAGATTTTTCTTTTTGATTGATTTTATTGCATTTCACAGGTTCTCTCACTATCTTGAAAAATATCTCTGTATCTAATATTTCTTTTATTGTTTTCCTTTCAGTTGATGGTTGCATTGACTGGTCAGTGGATCTCAAGACATACATGGCTTTGGCAGGTGAACCAGTCCGAGTGAAATGTGCCCTTTTCTACAGCTACATCAGGACTAATTATAGTATGGCCCAAAGCACAGGTCTTAGGCTTATGTGGTACAAAAACAAAGGAGATTTAGAAGAACCCATTATATTTTCAGAAGCTAGGATGAGCAAGGATGAAGATTCAATATGGTTTCATTCGGCTGAGTTGCAAGACAGTGGATTCTACACGTGTGTTTTAAGGTGGGTATTGTGTTGAATATAACAATACATTTCTATAGTTTTTCTTATTTAAGGCAATGCTTAAATTTAGCTGTTTCAGGACTACCAATTAATATATACTCGTTATCTTTCTTTTCCTGATTGTTTGTCAGATTATTGCATTATCTTGGAATTACAATTTCTCAAATAATTATGATTACTTGTTCCAATAGTGATAATTAAATATGTCTTCACTTCCTTCACTGAGACCTATTTTCAAAGGTTTTTAACTTAGTCAAAAAAAAAGCGGGGGGAGGTGGCGGCAGCTCGGTTCTGAAGGCTTAAACCAAAACAAACATTTTGATCAAATAAAGCTGTTTGGCAAATCAAGAGCAAATCCCATAACTGACAGACAGCAATCACAGATTATAATTTTCTAATGGTATTTTTGTGACCTCTGTCTACTACGAGTGAGTTAACTTTTGTAAATTGCTTAACGGCTCATAATCTGGTCTGAATGGCCCTGACATTGTGGAAGTGGCAGTCAAAGTCCTGATTGATTTTGAAAAATGTCTTTTCTAATTTGCAGCAATACATGTTGATCGAATGTTTAGTGTCCCTCCAGAGGCCTCAATTCTGAAGAGCACGTAAACGTATGCTTAACTGTAAACCAGTTCGGACATAAACATGTGCTTTGAGTTAAGCATGCTTTTAAGAGCATTGCTGAGGAGGGATGGCTTGCTGATTTGGGGCCTTAACTTGCATAGTACTGCCTGTCCTAAACATACCTTTATAGGGTAAACTAGAAAGGCTCTTCAATTTTTTTTAAATGCATAAATGTTCCTTTAACTGATTCAACTTTGAAATACAAAGGACTTCACAAGTACCATACATGTTTTCAATATTGCACCACAATTGCTTTAAAGGCAAACAAATAGAAATGTCTCTGGTCATGCCGCTGAGGTGGTCTTGCCTGTCCCATGTGTTTCACTGCTTCTGTGTCTCAGGCCATCTATTGATCACTCCCAAGGCCATAAAATCTTTTTGTCCAAACCTAACAATCCATAGCTGGTTGAAAAATGTCTGTTGAAACTTCTTTTTTGACAGAAGGTTGGGGTATCAACAAAATGTAAATTTTTGTGGAAAGTATCTGCTTTCCATAGAAAAATTTGACTTTTAAGCAGAATATTAATTTAAAAAAAAAACACCTATGTCTGGAATGAAAAGCATCAAGGAACAAACAAAGGGGTAGATCCTACAAAACCCTTATTTACACTGGTAGTCCCATTGAAGTTACCCACATGAATAAGAATTATTTACATGAGAAAAGGTTTGCTGGATCAAACTTAAAATGATTAAAATTAAAGCTCAACTGATGCACTTTCCTGAAGAATTTGGTAATCAGAGCTTGATTTTGTTTAGTTAGCAGGATATGGGGCAAAGGATCATACCTGCTGTGAGGGGCAAATGGGGAAGATGTATATGTTGAAGCCAGATCAGCTCAGCTGATGTATCATAGACACAGTCTGTGAACAGAAGTACATTTGTAGTCAGGAGGAGCTAGCATCTAGAAGTTCCCATTTGCCACAGAGATGAACAAGAAACATCCATTTCCTTTTTGGCAATTCTTGTGGTTGTGAAGATGTAGCCATTACTCCCAAAATGTGGCATCACTCTTCCCTCAGCACATATTCTGTTCATCCTGTTTGATCACAGAAGGATGAAGTACCATTACAAAGGACGAGTCAAGCATGACTTCAGTACTGCTGTGGACATGGAAGATCAACTCTTTTACCTTCTCAATCAAACTGGCTCTGAAGTTCACTGAGAGTCCATGGCTGAAACCACTGAACAGCAATTCAAACACCCATTGTAGTTTAAAATTGTACATACCTTTGGTGAACATTAGTGCTTATGTTGGTGGCAGATTAACAAAACTGGAAAGAGTCCCAGAAACTTGCACAGCTCCTAGCTGCATCTCCACTAGTGCCTACTGACTTGCTTCAACCTTATTTTATCTGCTTCTGATCCTGCTAGAGGCTACCAGCAATATAGGACTGTGATGTTTTGATGGTTTTGTGCTGTGGACTAACATCTAGTTTGGACTAAAGATGAACCCACCATACACTATTATTAGTAGTAGTAGTTGTAAGAGTAATAATAAACATTTATAAGAGGGCAGTATCCAAAGGCCTCAGTTGGGACCACTGTTCCATTGTTCTGGATGGATAGCAAATATAGCCCCTGATTCTGCAAAAAGAACCTTATAGGTTGGCTCCTGTCTGTGAGCAATCTTTGTATCCTCAGAGCTGGAGATAAGAGACAAAGCAACTGATTATATTGACTTGAATATTCATTTGAAGTCAAAACTGTGTTGAATCTGAATCTTTAGCAGTTAAATGGTAACTCTCAAACTTGTGGTGACACTTCAGTGTCTGTTTTATAAATATTTTCCAGAAACTATTAAATGTAAAGATAATGGTTACTATTAGAAAGTCAACATTTGCCAACAGATTTCAGAGTTATTTACTATTGGCTGTGGAGAGGGGAACTGTGGTCTGATACCATTTTGTGTGATTAACTCTTAGCAGATCCTGATTTTGTAATGCTACCTCTGTAATTAGTATACTACAAATGACAGAACCATTATTTTTTATGACAGTTGCATTATGGAACAGTTATGTAAAGATACTGAATTACATATTTCAGCAGAGATGTACATTTTTCATGTAAGATAGTCAAGACAACTTGACACAAACATTAGCAAAAATCTTATGAGCTCAAGTTCTAGGACGCACTTTTATATGGGAGATTTCAGAACACTTCGTTCATTTAGGTGACAAATAGTTTTGGTAAGAAATGGGCAATTTTTGAAATAAAGAATGTGTTCTCCTTACTTCCAACATAAAGACAATATGTCAGGCTTTTGGGAATGTTTTACGCAGCAACAATGTCTTCTATGTCAGTTCTACAATTTTGCTGCTTAGGCCAAAACTTTCTTATATCATTAGAGATTTTTTCCCCCTATTTTCAGATTTATGTGGGAGTACTGTGTTTCACGGCTTTATGTCTTGTAATTATACATAAGACCACATTTCTTGCTTGAATAAATTTATTGTTTCTTCCAAAAATTTGGTAATGAATCCTTGCTCTTGTTATTTATAAAATCAGAAGTAGCTTAAAATAGCTGAGCAAAGAGCAATAGTAATTTATTTTCATTTCATTAAAATAGGGTTAGATGTAATACTCTGAAATATAATAATGTTATCGTGATGGACTAGTCACACCACGAACTGTGTAAAAGACTTTTTAAACTAATTGAGCTGAAATTAAAATTTGATGAGGTTTGGGTTGGTTTGTTTTTTAAGCGGATGTTTGCATTTTACAATAATCAATCAGGATCACGTAGTTTGCAAGAATAGGAAGGTCACAGTTGATAGAAGTAATTGCAGAAGATGATTTTGTAGAACGATCTATAATCGGTTTCAAGTATTGCCTTTTATAAACTGTCTGACTCCAGAATCGTACAGTCGGATCAATACAGTGTAAAGAGGAATACAATGTACAGCAATGTACAACATCAAGGTCTAATCTTGCAAGAAGCTCTGGGCTCTCTTGTGGGGGCTCTGAGTGGGTTTGGGAAAATGCCTCTTTAGAGCTCCTGGCAGGATCGAGGCCAACAAAGCAATTTGGTGGGGTGGTGTGAGGACATTGGGGAAGGTGGGAGTGAGTGTATGAGGGAAAGGCTGACATGACCGTGAGGATCATGGGTAAAAATAAATATTTCAGTGATTGGATAAGAGTTTATTATACCGGGGTGATAACTGTAATGTTAATATTATCTGTTTCAGTGTTTGCAAATGGGCCCAGACTAGGGTGTGAGAGACTGACAATATCCCCAACAAACTTTATGGAGTTAAGTTAAATGTGATTCAGTGAACTTGAACATCTTTGGAGTTGGTTGTATTAAAAAGGCAAGTGTTTAGGTAATGTTGTGAGACTGTGGAAATTCTTTAGCAGGAGACAAGATTAATGCAGTAATTCCTAGAGCAGGTCTTCTAGAAAAACATCCACTCTCGATTTAAAAATTGTCAGAGACGGAGATCCATCATGACCCTTGGCAAATTGTTCAAATGGTTAATTACTCTCGCTGTTTAAAATGTATGCTTTATATCCAGTCTGAATTTTTCTAGCTTCAACTTCCACCCTTTGGATCATGTTATATCTTTCTCTGCTAGACTGAAGACCCCATTATTAAATATTTGTTCCCCATGTAGATACTTACAGACTGTAATCAACTCACCCCTTTACCTACTCTTTGTTAAGCTAAATGGACTGAGCTCTTTGAGTCTATTACTATAAGGCATATTTTCTAATCCTTTAATCATTCGTGTGGCTCTTCTCTGAATCTCCATTTGTCAACATCCTTCTTGAATTGTGGGCACCAGAACTGGACACAGGATTCCAGCAGTGGTCGCATCAGTGCCAAATCCAGAGATAAAATTATCTCTCTACCCTAGGTGCTTGAATTAGCGGTGCTGCCGCAGCCCCTGGCTTGAAGTGGTTTCCCTCATATTCAGCGTTTACAGTTTGGTTCAATGGCTCTCAACACACCCACTACACAAATTTGTTCCATCACCCCTGCTCCTTACTCTAAGATTCCCCTGTTTATGCATCCCAGGATGGCATTAGCTCTTTTGGCCAAAGCGTCCCACTGGGAGCTCGTGTTCAGCTAATTATCTGCCACAACCCCCAAGCCTTTTTGGAAACACTGCTTCCCAGTATAAGGTCCCCTTTCTATATGCCTGGCCTCCATTCTTTGTTCCCAGATGTTTACATTTACATTTAGACATACTAAAATACACTTTGTTGACTTGTACTCACTTCACCAAGCAATCTAGATCACTTTGAATCAGTGGCAATACTACACATAAATAACTGTGTGTATATATATGTGAGGTATATTATATAATTAATTCCCGCATTAAGCTTATTTTCCTTTTCTCATAGTACATTTTGACATTGACTTAACATTTAGTTGC